TTCCCAAATTCTCCATCCTGCATTTACAAGGTCTGGTAATTTAATAATCTTTGCAAGACTCTAAATTCCATGTGTTCAGGACTTTATGAGCCCTACAGGGAAGATGATGCACCTTGTAGTTTATATGTGTTTGAAACGTGAGGAATTCATACCAAACAAAAATTGCCATGATTCAAACATTTTGACAAGTAGATGAGAGAAACACACACACATTCCAATATCTGCTGGCTTCTTTGAAAGACTGGCAAGAATTGTAAAATCTGCTATCAGGACTCGTTCACTTATGCTGGAGGGACGCTTGCAAATTCTACCTATTGTTAAATGGAAAGCTTTAGGGACTTTATAAGTTTATGAATACTGCAGGATGCTGTATGGACATGAAAATGTCTGAGGTTACTACATGTAAAAATGTCTTGACAATTTTTGCACATACAGTACTAGGATTGCTGCATCCCAAGTTCCAAAAAGTCCAGTAATTATGTTCTAAATTTATATTATGAAACTTACAAATGATAGCAGCATTGCCACTAGGACTTCAGTGTTTTTTGTATACAGCTCTTATGACCTCTGTCAGCCATGTAAATGGATCTTGTCAGTGTCATTTCAACTCCAACTGCAAAGTCAAGGCAGTTTCTAAGTACAGTAAAAGCTGCTTTAACCGGCACCCTACAAGTTGTCATGCTCTATTAACTCACACGCCAGCTTGTAAGGTAAAAGCGAAAGCGGAAGTGCCCACTGTGGCACTTCTGGTTTTGCTGAGCTACCACGGCCTGGGGCAAAGCAGCCTGTGCCGGTGAGGCCCCATGGCCCGGGGCATAGCAGGCTGCGCGGGGCCTGCCTTCCTGTCCCTCGGGGCCCGTGGGGCCTGCGGGGACTGCGGGAGGGTCTGCAATGTGGTGGGAGGGTTGGCAATGCTCCGGATGTGGCAGGAGAACAGGCAAAGACACCTGTTTGGGCCTCTCAATTAACCAGCATATTTTGTTATCCGGCACCCACCATTCCCCATGGGTGCCGGATAACAAAGCTTTTGCTGTACCATGAACAGTAGTTTTTCCTCTGTTGGTACTTATATGTTGTACCAGCTGTGCAAATGCTCCCAACCATATTATCTTTCTCTCTCTGAACTGAAGAACTGTGAGATGTAAAGCAGAAAAGAACAGTTTGGTCCAGTTTCCATTAGTGTCAATGGAAAAGTTCAAGTTGACATATGTGGGACTTAGGCTGCAAGTGCTATGACTATAGATATTTCACTCATAAAAGTATATGTACTTGTGTATATATAGGATATATATCCTTTTTAACCTCAGAAAACCATAGCAATTTGTATCTTTGAGTTTGCTAGCATTACAAACTCTTATCGCTACGCCTAACTTCATCAAGAATTTAACAGTTTTGTTATGCTGAAAAATCCACATAATTCAGAAGTTCTAAATTTGACATCAGTAGCACAACTCTTCCATCAAGTTATGCTCAACTTCAGTAGAATAAGAAGGAAATTCAGATTTTTAAAAATTTTTGACAAAAAAGGTTCATCTTTTCAAGAAGTGAAAAAGCACTTCATCTGCTTAGTCTCTTAGGGCATGTCCACACATGCAAACACGTGCGTTTGCAGCAGCTCAAATAGAAGTGGTGCAAATTTGAGCCAGGGCTTTTTGCCTCAGCACACGTGCTCAGACATGCACTTTGTTGTGGAGCAAATGGTGCCACTTGGGGCAAAATAACTCTGCCTGGCTCCTCCTGGATCTGCAGCCAGGGAGAGCTAGAGCCTGGGGCCAGCACCTGTGCTGTCCCCAGCAGTATAAAAGCTACCCTGTCTTGGCCCCAGCAGTACAAAAAGCTGTCCTGGCAAGCATCTCAGGGCTACTTGCTCTCAAGAGCTCCTGGGACCTGGCCAAATGGTATCTGGGGGCACTACCCCTTGTGCCAGCTGGACTGCTGCAGCAGCATCCCAAATCCATTTTTAAAAATACCCCAAAATCCATGTTCTTCCACAATTAAAACAAAAGACTGCTCTACACACACATGTATATCTATACAGAGAGATAGAGAGGGATTGATTAGTTGGGCAGTGCTTTATTGGTATATTTACAATGTTAAAGCAATTTGTTAGCCTACCAATGTCTCTATCATCATGATAAAATAAATTCTAAATACCTCTGTGTGTTGATGTGTGCTTTCGGTTTTCTTCACACATGATGGGTGTGTGATGGGGGATGTGGTGTTTGGAGGAAGGGTGTGGGTGTGTGTGGAGGGATGTGCATTGCTGTGTGGGTAGGTGTGGGGCAATTGCTGGGGGGACTGTGGGTATGGGAGACCTTGTGGGGGGGGGCTGCTCAGAAGGGGTGGGTCCCCTAGCCCTCACAGGGTGCAGCTCCCCCACACAGCACATGGACTGCCCCCCCGCACCCTGCGGGGCCCCAGCTCCCCCCGGGGGCCCCAGCCCTCTCGCACAGGGTCTCAGGCACCCTGCAGGGCCCCACAAACTCTGCAGGGTCTCAGCCTCCCTGCCCCCTGCACAGGGTCCCAGGCACCCTGCAGGGCCACAGCTCCCCTGTGCAGGGCCCATAACTTACCTTCTGCAGCAGCAGTGGGAGTGGGGTACTCTCAGCCCACTGCTGCCAGCTCCCAGCTCTCGGGGACTGCGTGCCGAGCCCAGCCAGGTCCTGTTGGCCCTGGGGATGCTCTGCTGCCCAGCCGGGCCACATGAGCAGCCCCAGGGCTGGCAAGTCCCCGTGTGCCATATTTTCTCACACACAACATGTGAATAAGATGAAAAATTTGTTTTTGAAAGGTAGAATAAAGAAAAAAAAGAGCTTTCCTTGAAAATACTGGTAAGTAGTAGTAAGTAACTGAGTAGTTGCAGCTGGGGAGCTCAGCCTGTTCATTGTTTTGCTCCCTTCAGAGCATGGGCAGTATTACTTTCCCTCCCTTTGCTCTCTTCCCTTCCCTTTGTCCTGTCCCTCCCAGGTTTACTCTGCAGAAACTTCTATTATTGTATTTCCTCGCTTATAATAAAATTTCCAGCAGCTGAGTTCTGGGGAAAAAAAGTGTAGTACATGATTATCATCTTTTAGAGATTAGACAGAAGACCTTTTAGATAGAAAGGCACTTTCTTCAGAAAGTTTGTGACAGCATGTTGAAGTCTGATTCATGATACAAACTGTCATATCCTTAACTGTGAGGCCACTATCATGGTTCAATAATTGAATCATTATCATCCTCATCATTATTATTATTCCTATGGTGACTAGAGACCAAGATCCCCATTTGCTTAGTATTGTACACATAAATAACAGGCATTCCCTACCCTGAACAGCTTATTGTTGTCACTGTCTTTTTATAGGAAGGCCTGTTAGTATGAAAGAGTGCGTCTGTAACTCATATTGGTATTTTTCACATCGTGTCATATTTCTACATGCTGTTTCACTGTCCTGGTCACTAGTGTGTTACTATTAGTTTCATTACTACTTATTAATAATGGTTCCCCCTATGGGCTAGGCTAGTTTTCAAGCATTCTAGAATTGTCTGTCTCAGCCTGGAGTGCAAGATCCTTATATGGCAAACTTCCAAAGGATATTTCAGAGGAATGGATGGGAAAGTATAAAAATGGAAAGGGGACACAAGCATGGAGGAAAAGGAAGAAGAAAAGTGAAAAATGAAGAACAACTGTACAATACCTGTTAGGCTGCTAGAGAGGCTAGTGTGGCTGTTGCGGCATAACACAGAATCACAGGGGTGCACAGTGGTATGACAAACTTAAAAAAGGGAATGTGACCTCCAGAAAATTTGAGAACTACTGCTCTAGAACAATGATTCCGTCAAGGTGCTCACAATTTTTATGGCCTGCTCTGATTTAGGAATAATTGTTTAAACTGGGTTAATTTGTTTCTGCCAGAGAAATCAAGGGAAATGACTGAGCACTAAGAAAGTGCCTCTTACACATCATCTATTGTTCTGCAAAAGAAACTCATGCCCGATTTAAACAGAACACCCATCTCCATCACAGAACCCAGGATGTTGTACAAGCAGAATTTTAAACCAAATTGGATTAAACATCCAGAAAAACAGGTCATTCCAAAACATTAAAAAATTGCCCAATTATTTATATTAGAGTAACTAAAGTTCATGATTAGCCATCACAGTGGTATAGTCCCTTTAAGGACAGACCTGTTCCTGTGTATCTGTACTCCAAATACTGGCCCCATAAAGAGGAACTGTAGTGCCTGGGAGTTAGCTGCAAGGCAAACTCCTCCTGAGAAGTGTGTCGGGACTATAAAGGCCCACACTTACAGTTCCCTCCACACTTCCCTCCTGTCTGCAGGCTGCATCTCTTGCTGGCCCTTTGATTACAATGCCTTCTGATCAACCAGGCAGCCCAGAGCTGGGCATTTCCACCAACGGACCTTAGCAGGCTAGTTTCTGGCCCATTGCCTCCCCCCATGGCTCACTGTCTCTCCCCCAAGCTACCTGTGCCTGAACCCATGATATTACTTTCCTCCTGTACTCCAAGGAGTATAGAGTCCTTTCCTGGCTGGGTGTTGATCTAGGGAGTAGTACCCTCATTTCCCTCTAGTTCAGCCAAGATGAAAGGAAAGGTATTCAGTAATGAGCTGTGAGCAAGCCTGATTTACAAAAGCCTGAGGAGACTGCTGCACTGTATCCTGGGAAGGGTAAAGGGAGAAGCCTATAGGAAAATAGAGAGTGGAGGACATGTCCTGGGAGAATGGCAACCAGCCTTTGTCCCAGGCCTAGAACTTGTAACAGGTAGTTCCCCCAGCTCCACTCAAAGTCACCAAGAGAGGTTGTGTGGATATCTTCATAACCACTGGGTGAAGGGCTTTGTGTTTTCTGTGCTGGGAAGTTATGGAAGGAATAATTGTTTTGTCTGGACAAGGCCAGGGTGTGAAGTCCAGCAGGGCCTGCACTGAGGAGAGAAAACTGCAGCCTAGGGAGAGCCAAAGCAGTATCATGCATGTTTGGATTTTGTTTGCTCTAGAAGAAGGAGGTTTGTTTGCTTCAGGATTAAGCCTAAGCACCCCAACAGACGACTCACTGGAGCACCAGCTGTTTGAGAGCAAGGGGGCCTGAGAAAGAGATGAGCAAGTCTAGCTGAGGTAAGCTACTGTTTCTGTGGTGTTGTAAATACAAAGATGTGCAGTGTTTTGAATGCAGAAATGTTTTGGCATAAGGTTTTTTTCACTTCCCCTTTGTTCTGAGAAGCCAGAGGCTTGCAGATATGATAGTATCACTTCACTACCTTCTAATCTAGGGCATTTTATCTGTCACAGTCCTGCTGCCGGTGTGGGCACTCTGTTTGTGGGCTTCAGTCAACCCAGTGTTGGGAAACCCATGGAGTTACATCATGGCTGTTTGCCCTTGTATCTATGAAGTGATGCATTGCTAAGATTCTGGCAAGTCAGGCTTGAAAAGAAAATATTTGGTTAAATTCTGATCTCAGTTGTACACGTGCAACTCCCAAGGCACTATGTCTGAACTCTTGTCCAGCAAGTTTGATAAGGAGGTGCTGCATGCTGGCAAATAATATAGATGTTACGCTAGAGAGTGGATGAACAACTGTTTCTACTTTTGTAGTGCTCTGCTTGCAGCAGAATCAACTGGTTTTGCTTCATCATTAAAAAGAACAACAAAACCCCCAAATATTTCCTTACTAGTCAGTTAATAACAACAACTACACTGTTCCAAAAGTATTAGTGAAAAAGTGATTCCTTTGGCATATAACATTGTTTTTGGATTTGGGGAAGGCTTAGTTTACAGATTGGCTCTTTTTTGTTTTGTTCCAAGCACAGAAAATGCTTTCGAGTAATGCTTTTGCTTGAATTTCTTGTTGCTTGTATCTTGTGCTGGGTCCTGTTCTGTTTTGTTTTGTTCCCAGCACAAAAAACCCTAGGGACTGGTATTTTAGCTTGATTTCTTTCTTAGTGTACTTCAGTTCTAGATGTATCTGTCTTTCAGAAAAGAAAAAAAAATTGTAGTGATTAGTTAATTTGCCTGAAAATTCAGCAAAATCGGAGCTATTTTACAAAATTAACAAGGAAATTCAAGTCAGTTTTGTGGCTCACTGGATAGCGTACCACCATGAGGTGATTATGACCTTAGAGCTCTAAAATTTAAAAAACTAATTTTGTGTAGAAAGGTGCACAATGATTATTTCTGTCTTGGTGCAGGTGCCAAAGATTTGGGAGAAAGTGATTCTGTCCTCAACAGCAACCTAGTGTAGAGGGCTGAGCACACAGAGGTAAGATTGATCTTCTTTGTCCATGATTGCCCTTTAATATTTTGAATTTTTACAACCCTCAGTCTCCTAATTCCAGGTCTATAACTAACGTGCTAGCTCACTGACATGGAGTTTTAACTTTTCTGTTTTCCCGTCCCGTAAGACAACAAAATATTGGCATTAAGAGAATGGATTATAATAAAGGCATTTGAATTTTATTATAGCACGGTGCATGTTCCAGGAAAATCATCAACAAGAATTTCCCATTACTAATTGCATTTTGAATGAGGCCCAAATATTGTTATAGTGAATTCTCATTTCTTATGTATTTTTTCACTTTTGATCAGTGTATATAGTAGTTTATAGAACAAATCTATAAAACAGCGTCCCTTCTCTCTGAATTTTTAATTTTAATTTAGACAAATGTGAATAGTAATGATAGATAGGGGGAAGATGGGCTGTTAATGTTGGTCAAGGACAAAAAAACCCACTTATTTGGCTGTTTGAATTTTAGAGCCAAAAGGGGTGGGTGAGTGCGTGTGAACTTTTGTAGGATATAGTAGTTGATTCTTATTGCAGTGCTCATACGGAGCTGGAGTGGCAATGGACAAAGGAGTTAGGAACGCTCATGAGAGCTTATGGAGATATGGAAGACATCAGATGGGATAAGCTTGAAGGAGAATGAACGGATAGAGGAAGGAGGCAAGAAAAATAAGGAAAATGTATAGGTAGCTTGATTAAATTTCACTGACAGCAGAGAGTTAGTGAACTGAAAGAAATGGGAGTTCACAGATGGATCTATCAGAGCCAGTGGCAATATAGAAAAAAGTATAATCCCTATATATCTATAACATAATTCTGCAACATGATAAAAATCCATTAGGAACAGCTGCTTTATTATATCATGCATATATATTGTGTCTAGCTAAGGGGACAGATGCTTGTGCAGCAAAACGCTTGGAACAACTCTGCTTGTCTAGAAAGCACAAGGCTATTACTTGTTTGATTGTTGTTTGAGTCATCAGTTGAAGCCAAATCCCTGGTAGGTAGTAAGTTTGGCCTATAATCAATGTAAATTAAATGTAATCTATTGTGACTGACATTTTAAAAGATTGGCATCAGTCTACAGGCTTGACTACTGCATTTAAGGTGGTAACATTCTTTCTGTTGTTTTCACTCAGTCCTGTATAAGATAGAGTGAGTCAGATCATTGTTGTATAGATTTTGGCAGGGACAGATGCACAGATGGTGTAAATTGGCATAGCTCCATTGTAGGCAATGGACTTATGACAGTTTACACCAGATGCTTAGGTATTTAATGATAGCAGCTATATCAGGTTTATGAGGATCACTTCATGTTCATGAGAAAATGGAGGATGATTCTAGCCAAAAGTCAACATGTCACTTTTGTGTAACATCCGATGGATTTTTTTTGTCTTTGTCATTCTCTAAGAAGTGACTGTGTAAACTACTTACCCTGGCAATGTAACATGACATGAGATATAAGTGCTCAACTAAACTGGTTCAAAATGTTATGTACAAATTTTCCTTATGTGTTGCATAACCAATGGAAAAATAAAACCCTTCTTTTTTTGTAACAGGAAGTTAAAGATACACCATTAATAAATTATCCCTCTGCTTTATTATCCAGAAAAACTCACATATGCAGCTGATGCACATTTATTTAGCTGTCACTTTTATAAGTTCTAGTATCGTATCTATATACGTCTGTCATTCAGTGTAGAACAAAAGGAATGAAAATCTCAAAGGAAAACAATTTACCCCAAGTCAGTCTATGTATCTATAGCATTATCTCTACAGCAAGCATGTACACATTTACAGCTGTGTGTTTATACTGGGGCCAGGGACAGAAGTTACACACAAACTGGTTTAAGTGATCAGAAACTGGTTTAAACCTGTAACAGAACAGAAGTTCAGTGCACATAAACTGCTTTCAAAGTGGTCAAAACTGGTTTAAGATAAACCTGGCTGAATGTAGTATCAGACTTAACTGATTTAGGTCAAACTGATTAATGGAACTTCTGTCCCAGATCCCTTCCTGGTTCAAGTTCACTCGCAATCCTCCAGCATCCCAGGATGCTTTGTAGACCTGGGCTGGGCTGGGCTGGGCTGTCTGCTCCAGTGAAGTAGGGTTAGCCCCACCCCTTTGCTTCCTAGGCAGAGCACTATCTTTGTTCCTGCTGGCTGTAGGAAGGGGGTGGGGATGGGAACCCAGCTCGGGACTGCAGCTGGGTCTGCCTGGAGCAGCTGCTCACAGGCTTTCCCCCTACTTGCCGCTGTCCCCACCCTGGGGCAGGGGCATGGCCAGGCCCTAGGCAGGCACGCTGAGGCAGAGGAAAAGGAGGGGATTTAAATCCTTCTTTCTCCCCTTTCCCACCAGCCAGGTTTAAACCCCATCTACTACAGTCATGGATCCTCAGGCAGCTGGAGTCTGCCTGGCAGGGGTGCAGCAGCCCCTGCCAGGCTTTCCCCCCACTCACAGCTCAAGCGGAGGGGGTGGGGGCATGGATTAAACCCCTCTCCCTCCTCTCCACCTCAGTGTGCCGGCCCAGGGCCAGTGTCTGGCTATGCCCCTGCCTCTGCTGCTTGAGTGGAAGTGGGGTAAAAGCCTGCCAGGGGCTGCTGTGCTCCTGCCAGGCAGACCTCGGCTGGGGTCCCACACTGGTGGGAGAGGGGAGGGAGGCTTTAAACCCTCCTCCTGCACTTCCACCTCAGCTTGCCACAGGGTTTGAATTATGGGGAAGCTTGGTGGGGGGGGGGGAGGCTGAGCCCCTGTCAGGTAGACCCCAGCTGGGTCCCATGCAAGCATGGGGGGAATGTGGGTAATGAGTGAGGGGCAGCAGTAGGGCTGTGGGGTTGTGGTTGGGGAATGACAGGCACCCACAGGGTTGGAGAGCTCTGGCTTGGGAGTGAGGGGCCTGGACCTGCATTCTGGTGAGTGAAGGGGGCCCTGCTGGTGACCCTGCCCCCCCCACAGCACCCTGCCCCCCCAGCCCTGCCAGAAGGGGCCCCCAGCTGCTATGACTATGGGGCCAGCAGGGCGGCCCCCGACCCGGGCCTACCACTCGTGGGAGCTGGCTGCTGCTGTGGCGGTGTGGAGCTTGAAGCCCGGCTCCCCCTCCCCTGCAGGCAGCATGCCTGGAGCAGAGCCTGTGGGGGTGCTGGATGCGGGCTGCCAACTGTGGACTTAGGCTCCCCGCCCTGCTCCCTTCCCCCTGGTGCTTCTGCAGTTGGTGGGACCCAGTATGGCAGGGCAGAGCAGGGCTGGGCAGGGAAGTTCATTGCTGCTGCTGGCAGCAGTGAGGGGCACAATTTTGTGCTGCCACCCCCACTGCTGCTGAGTGGGAAGGGGGCACCTTGCCAGGGGAGCATGGGACTCGCAACAGCAGCAACGGGCTTCCCCAGCTGGTCCCACTCTGCCCTGACACACTGGGTCCCATCTGCTGGGCTGCAGAGGCCCCAGGGGGAGGGCAGCAGGGCAGGGAGCCCGAGCCTGCAGTGGGCAACTTGCCCCTGCTTCCAACCCGTGCACAGATCTCGTGCCTCTCCTGCCCCCCCGCCCCTTGGATGAGCCACCCACGTTCCCATTCTGCTCCCCATTGGGGCCCCGTGGCCAAGCATTCCAGCCCTGAGCCCCACGCGTTGCCCGGCTGGGCAGCATTCCCAGCCCCAGCCATGCCCAATTCCCTCCTTCCCAGCTATATGGGACCTCAATCCCCCTCTCATAGTTTCATAGTTGGTAGGGTCAGAAGGGGCCTAAGCACGTCATCAAGTCCGATCGCCTGCCATGAGCAGGAAAGAATGCTGGGGTCAAATGGTCCTGGCTAGGTGATTGTCTAGCCTCCTTTTGAAGATCTCCAGGGTAGGGGTGATCTCCTTTTGAAGATCTCTAGGGTAGCACCACTTCCCTCTCCTCCACGAGACTTACCTGCGGAAGCTGCTCTCCAGGCTGCCTGGTGGCCATGTGCATGTACATGCAAATGGCGCCTCCTGCCTGACTGCCTTCCTCCTGCTCTGCCAGCCTGCAGAGAGCTCTTTGCAAAAATGGAAAATCCACATTTTTTCATTAAAATGAGAAATCCACGTTTTTCTCAGTTAAAAGGGAAAATCTGTGGGGGGTTTCTATTTTTCCATGGGAAATGGTCCATGCTGATGAGGCTCTGGTGCTGAGGCTGGCATCAACAATTGGTAGACTCAGCTGAAGTATTAGTTCACAAGACTGAGTGGAATCAGTTCAAGACTGTGGTGCAGTCCTGGAGCTGGGACTGACAATCGGTGAGCTGTGTGTGTTAGAGATCATAGTGAACATTACTATGTGACTTCTCAGAACATGTCTTAACTCTAATACTATGCAGATTTAGCATGTACTAAGTGTCCCATGAAACAAGGACTGTGAAATGGACCCCTGTGGTTCTGCTGCTATGGCTCCATCTTTATTTCTACTGTGGCTGCATGATCCCATTTGGAACAATGGTTAGGCATGAAGACCTATCACTCTTTGTGAGAGGAAGCAAAGGTGATCCATGAACTGGTCTCCTTGACACAGGGTTAAGAATTAAGAGTCCATCCTTGTATGAAAGCATCATTGTGCAGATTGGATCTGTGCCGTCTTCACCTGACTCTGCATGCCAGGATCAGGTGCTTGAACTAGCATGCAGGGCCAGGACTCCCCACAGGTTTGGAAATCTGGCAGAAGGGGGTGGTGCCACTCCTGCTTTAAATTATTAAGAAAATCCATGTTTCCATTACTTAAGTAAAAGTAACCTTTAGTTACAAGAAAGATTGTATATCTTGTTTAGGACTTTTAGAAGAGTATCTGAAAGAGCTCATGGAGAAAGACTTTCTTACATCCTTGGCTTTTTCTTTGTAACATTTATTTTTCTCATTTATTTTCCTGTCATTTCTTTTGGCTGTAGTTAATAAATTTGTTTCACAACTGTTGTTCCCCTCATATTTCTTTCACTGTAATTGCGTTATATGTTTTCCACCTTTATACAACA